ATATGTTAAAGCAAAATGTGAATTATCCTCTGATCTGTTCGAAACTTTGAAAGAAGACGTATATTCAGTGCTACAAAAGTTCGGCGACAGGCAAAACATTAACAGTCATGAAAATGCAAAAAAAAGAGCGAGAAAATTGTTATCAAGCTTTGACAAGACATGTTCATCAACTGGAGTGAGACGTTTTATTGATGGATTAAAACTAAGAGATGAAGAAATAGAGTTTCGTACAACATTGTTTCGCAAAATAACATCGTCAAACACGTTACAAGCACTAGAGGTGAGCTTAAAGTAAACTTAAGAATGATTACATTGCAATAGTCTTAATGAGAATTCTATTAGGAACATCGCGTGGTCAGAACATTAATTGAAGATATACGCAACCCGGACGAGGTAATCTTGGACTCAAATACACCTGCTAATGTGTTTCTATATCTCTTACAGAATCCCAACCTGTAGATTCATAATGGTAAGTGTTGTATCTGGTAACACTTTCTTTTTTGATGCAATCCAATTTAATAAAATAACAAATCGCAAGATTAAAAAATTAAATGCGTCGAACTATGAGTTATGGCTGTGACTAAGATCATTCAGTTTTTCTGCCAGATACAACACGGGGATTCTGACTTTAAATTTTACAAAATAAAAATGATAATAAATTTTTTATTAATTAGTTAGAACACCAAGTTTTACCAGCCGGAAACTCTGGAACTCAAAGTATTAATAGTTATCAGAGAAAACATCATCGGGATGAAACGACAGATGATGATGAACCGGAAAAGGTACAAAAGAATTGTTGTGATTTGTCTCGATCCCTTTCATAATAATGGTTGATAATATGATGATCGTTAAAAAAAGCAATGTAGGATTAGGAGTGGGAGAACTACACCGAATTATGAAAATCAGGATTAGAAACTTCTACGGATGAAAGTAAGAGAATCATTAGACAAGAGTCATCGACATCATCAGGACAAAACGATATCGAAGTTGACGAGATAGATATGCTGTTGTCAGAGGTCTGATATCTTACGCATATTGCTTTGATTCACGAGATTCATCATTTAATAAATCTTGTCCGTTCTTAGAATCCAATCATCCAAAGATTGATAGAAGCCGGTGGAATTGGTCGATATAAAATTGTCTTCTTGCCAGAAGAAAACGATTGTGATGCAATCAAGTCAATATTCAATAAGAATGAGTGGTCGAAACTAGAAATAGATTGGATTAATGTTAGTTATCTTAAGTCTATATTATTTTTAAAAAACTAATTCAATACTATTTTTTTCTTTTTCAGGCTGAGAAGAAAACGATACCTTCTAGTAATGTAATGAATGAGAATATTAGCACGTTATTAAAAAAGTACAGTGATGGTATCAATGAAGCGACGTTCGGATACGATGTGGACTTGAGGAAATTGTCCGTTTTATTTGATGAAACTTCAATTGCAAGTCGTGACACGTACATTTTTACTCGCGAATGGCCTACACAATGGATCAAATCTATTTTTAATGCATTGTAAATATAATATTTTGATTCATTTTTTTTTTTTTTGGATACTTTCTACATTAATTATATTCTATAATAGTTTACTGTGTTTCCAACTACCAATAAACCCGCTTCACGATTGTAACTTATCCGAATATTCCTACAGAGATAGGATTGTTAATCGTATTATAGAAGATATTTTTCTAGACACCTATAGTTTTATTCGCGTTAGGACGTAGGTTGTCTCTTACGGTCTCTATCTCTTGAAAATATTTTTCAAATACTAATATAAGTTTAATTGCAAATAACAAGAGGTGAAGTCGAAAATACAGATCGTAAAGATCAGAAAAATTCTGCAAGGCCACAAGGACAACGACGTTTTGTTGGATGGGATCATGACGCTATAT